ATATCCATTCTCATCACCTTGGCTCTCCTGGTCGTAAATCTGAGTTACAGCGCATTGGCTGGCTTCGCACTTCTGGTCATCGGCATTCCTCTCCTCACCAGAGCCATCAGAAGCCTCTTCAGAAGGCGCAAGGCCATCAACAAAATTACCGATCAGCGAGTCAGTCTGACTCAGGAAGTGCTGTCCTCGGTTCGGTTTGTCAAGTACTTTGGCTGGGAGACCGCGTTCCTCGATCGTCTCAAGGAGATTCGCAAGCGCGAGATCTACAGCATCCAGATCCTCCTGGCGATCCGAAACGCAATCAACGCCGTCAGCATGTCATTGCCCATCTTCGCTTCCATGTTGGCGTTTATCACATACTCTCTCACGAACAATAACATGAACCCTGCCGAGGTTTTCTCCTCTTTGGCGCTCTTCAATGGACTGAGAATGCCCCTGAACCTGCTACCTCTAGTTCTTGGGCAAGTCGTCGATGCATGGTCATCCGTCAAGCGTATTCAAGAATTTCTGCTCGCGGAAGAACAAGAGGAGGATGTTTGTGCGGAAGCCTGACGGCAAGCATGCTCTAGAGATGCATGCCGCTGATTTTACCTGGGAGAGGACGCCTACTCAAGACGCCGACAAGGGTGCCGATGCCACGAAAGGTGCCAACGACACCAAAACGATGAGCGAGACTGAGAAATCTGGACAGCGGCCACCGTCTGCTGGCGACAGTTCAGGTGGCAGCACTCTTATCGAAGAAGAGCGAGAGCCATTCAAGCTGCAAGGCATGGACTTTCAGATCCACCGCAATGAGCTGGTTGCGGTCATTGGGACTGTGGGCAGTGGTAAAAGCTCTCTTCTCGCTGCATTGGTAGGCGACATGAGGAAAACGTCAGGTGAGGTCGTCTTGGGCGCGTCAAGAGCTTTTTGCCCTCAGTACGCGAGGATTCAGAATGCGACTGTCATGGATAATATTCTTTTCGGAAAATTCTTGAACAGGGATGGTATAACGAGGTCATTCGATGCG